TCGCCGGAGCCCAGCAGGTCGAGGCTGCGGTGGCCGGGAGCAGCCACTGCACCCCAGTCTAGGCGACAGAGTGAGACTCCAACTAAAAAAAAAAAAGAATTAGGTCTCACTGTCACTCAGCGTGAAGCACAGTGGCATGATCATAACTCGCTGTAGCCTCCAACTCCTGAGCTCAAGCAATCCTCCCTTCTTAACCTCTCCAAGTGCTGGAATTGTAAGGTGAGCCACTGTGCCTAGCTTGATTTCAAATCCTGACCCTTTCAGGGCCTGAATGAGTTCACTCATATAAACAATTCCCTATTTTTCCCACTTTCACACGAAGTATGGCAGATTTACTTAGGCAATATATCTGAGCTACCACCAAATTCAACAGACACCAAAAAATCCCAAGCCACCTAAAAACCTCTTCAATGAATAGGAGGGAATGAGTGGATGGTCACTGTTCTCAAACATTCACACATGACAAGGTACTGCACAAGCATTAAAAAGTGAAAAATGGCCAGGCACAGTGGTTCACACCTATAATCCCAACACTATGGGAGGCCTAGGTGAGAGGACTGCCTGAGCCCATGGGTTTGAGTCCAGCCTGGGTAACTTGGCGAGACCTCATCTGTACAATAAATCAAAAAATTAGCCTAGCATGGTGGCACGTGCCTGTAGTTCCAGCTACCTGGAAGGCTGAGGTGGAAGGATAGCCTGAGCCCAGCAGGCTGAGGCTGTGGTGGCTGTGAGGGTGCCACTGTACTCCAGCCTGAACAAAAGAATGAGACTCCAACCAAAAAAAAAAAAAAAAAAGTGGCCAGGCTCAGTGACTCAGCCTGCAATCCCACACCTTGGGAGGCCAAGGTGAGTAAATTGCCTGAGTCCGCGGGTTAGAGACCCACCTGAGCAACCTGGCAAGACCTCATCTCTACAATAAATCAAAAAAAAAAAGAATTAACTAGGCATGGTGTAGCACACACCTGTAGTTCCAGCTACTTGGAAGGCTGAGGCAGAAGGATCGCCAAAGCCCAGCAGGTAGAGGCTGAGGTGGCCGGGAGCAGCCACTGCACTCCAGTCCGGGTGACTGAGTGAAACTCCAACTCAAAAAAAAAAAGAGTGAAAAACACCGGAAGTAGTGGCTCACACCTATAATCCCAGCACTTTGAGAGGCTACGGCAGGAAGATTGCTTGTGCCCAGGAGTTCAATACCAACTTAGGCAAGACAGCCAGACCTCATCTCTACAAAAACCAAAAAAATTAGCCAAGCATGGTGGTGGACACCTGCAGTCCCAACCACTCAGGAGACTGAGGCAGAAAAACTACCTGAGCCCAGGAGATTGAGGTTGCAGTGAGGCATAATCATGCCACCGCATTCCAGCCTATGTGACAGAGTGAGACTCTGACTCAAAAAAAAAAAAAAAAAAAAAAAAAAAAGTGAAAAACAAAGCCCTACTGGCTGGGTGCAGTGGTTCACACATCCCAGCACTTTGGGAGGCAGAGGCAAGAGGACTGCCTGAGCCCAAGGGTTCGAGACTAGCCTGGGCAACTTGGCAAGACTTCATCTCTACAATAAATCAAAAAATTAGCTGGGTGTGGTGGTGCAAGCCTGTGGTTCCAGCCACTTGGAAGACTGAGGCAGAAGAATTGCCTGAGACCAACAGATCAAGGCTGCAGTGGCTGTGAGCAGCATGCCACTGCACTCCAGCTGGGGCGACAAAGTGAGATTCCGACTCAAAAAAAAAAAAAAAGTCCCTACTTGGAAGGCTGAGGCTGAAGGATTGCCGGAGCCCAGTCTGGGCGACAGAGTGAGACTCCAACTCAAAAAAAAAAGAAGTCCTACTAAAACACAGATACTAAGGAAATTCACAAAATTCACTTGAGGATATAAGCCTTACACTTCACCACCCAAATTCCTACCTCAGCTAAATGACAAAAGACTATATATCACAAATTTTCCCAGCTGCTTAGAAAAATTATAAATATCAAATACACAGACATCAAAAGTCTACTGCACACAAATCTAGGTCTGTCCGGTTTCAAAAACCATGCTCTTTTTTCTACCCCACACACTTCCTTGGTATGAGAAAAGACTGAAAGCTACTCACTATCCATAGGCATATCGTTTTCCAGTTCTGAAGAACTATTCTCAAAGTGTAGTCTTAAAAGCATGTTGCCCTGACCTCCATTTCTAAGCTGGCCTAATTCAACCTTTTTCAGATAATATGGAGGTTCTATACTCTTAGAGACCACGTTATGCTAATATCATATAGGATATGACTATCCAACAGGTTTGACACACTACAGTCTGGCTCATCTCAACACCAAAGGTTCTCAAGGTCCTCCAGATTCAGCTACCCAGATAGCTAGGACCTGCCACATTTCTTCAGCCTCAGTCCCAAAAGTCCACAAAGCAGAAGCAGAGAAGGAACCCTCCCCACTTACAAACCTGTGTCTGTAGGACTGGGAGCTGAGGGTGAGCAGGGGAGGGGCTGCTCTGCATGGTCCCACTCCCAGGCTCCTCGTTGGATGCCTGAAGAATGACTGGGTTGTTATCACCACTGCTGCTGGCCGAGGGGCTGGCGTCCGGCTGCAGGGCATGCTGGGAGCTGGCCTCATTCTGGGCCACCGGCCACCGGGACCCGCCTTCCAGGGCCCGGGGCCCACCAGGGCGTCCCAGCCTCCGCTCAGGTCCACCAGCCTCTGGAGCACCTAAAATAGAGTAAAAAGGAGAGAAATGAGATTAAAGAAGATGAAAAACAATTTTTTAAAAAACCAGGAATAACATCAAAGAATAAACAGAGGCCAGACGCAGTGGCTCACGCCTATAATCCCAGCACTTTGGGAGGCTAAGGTGAAAGGACTGTCTGAGCCCATGGGTTCGAGACCAGCCTGGGCAACTTAGTGAAAACTCGTATCTACAATAAATCAAAAAATTAGCTGGGCATGGTGGCACATGCCTGTGGTTCCAACTACTTGGAAGGCTGAGGTGGAAGGATCACTTGAGCCCAGCAGGTCGAGGCTGCAGTGGCTGTGAGTGTGTCATTGCACTCCAGCCTGGGTGACAGAGTGAGACTCCAACTCAAAAAAAAAAATCAAATAAACACAGGATTACAACCTATATTTCTTGAGCACTTACTACATGTCAGACACTTTACTAAGTACTTGCTTAAAGCGTTCTATAATCCTTGTATCTTACAGACCACTACAAGACACTATATAACAAACATTTAGTTGCTGCTATACACTGAAGATAGAGCCATGCAGAAAGGATCCCTGACCTGAATGGAGTTTACATTCTAATATACATATTTTTCAGTTGAAATCTCACCCTGTCCCCAAGCAGGAGTTCAGTGGCACAATCGTTACATTCTAATTTTATTTTGAGTCGGAATCTTACTCTGTCACCCAGGCTGGAGTGTAGTGGCACAATCACAGCCATCATAGCCTTGACCTGCTGGGCTCAGGTGATCCTTCCTCCTTAGCCTTTCAGGACTACAGGTGCATGCTACCTTGTCTGACTAATTTTTTGATTTACTGTAGTTTCGAAGTCTTGCCATGTTGACCAGGCTGGTCTCGAACTCCTGGGCTCAGACAATCCTCTCACCTCGGCCTCCCAAAGTGCTGGAATTACAGGCATAAGTCACCACACCTGGTATATTCTAATATTACCACTACTTTATAAGTTAGGAAACCACAACCTTATAACTTGCAGAAGGTCACACTAAGAAAGTGCTAGAAGGAGGACTTAAATCCAGATAATCTAATGCCAAAACCACGGAAAACCTGCTACTCTCCCTGGTAGAGCCAGGATGACCAAGTCTTCCTCTATCCACAGCCCCAGTTCTGTTGTTATATTACTACAGTCAAATGCTCCACCAAAAAAATCACATGCAAATATTCTCATAGTTCTCCAGAGTAAAAAATCCACAAGTATTGACCTACAATCTCTCTCATTACCCCATCATTTTCTCCCATTAGCATCAGTACACAAAATGGTATCAGACACCTCACCTGTGTGAGCTGAGACCACAGACTCTGTGAAAGTCTGCACTTCCACGGTGCCGCCGTACTGAGGGGAATCACACCTGAAACAAACAGAAGAGGAGGAAAGCAGCAGTGAAAAACGAATTCACATTTGCCAATATCTGCCAAAACTTACTTATTCCAGTTTTTTGATGCTTTTGAATATACCCAAGTCAGTTAAAAAGCTAGAAAGCTACAGTTATAGGAAAAGCTCATATTTCAGAAAAATAAAAGCAAATTCTGTTTTGTGAAAAGAATTCCATAAGGACACAAGATTCTGCCTGAGGGGAGGAGCAGAAAAGTGGTGAAGCAAAAAAATTTCAAAACTCGTAACTGTAAAGCCTTCAACTTCAGAACAGTGGGCAAATTATACAGCAAAACAAGCTGCCATATCCAGAAAGAGATGCTGGCTGCCTGCTTGCCTTTCCAATGAGGGCTGAACACAGTCAGATCTAAGAGTGGAATTCTCAGGAAGAGTAAACAAACATGCCAGTCATAGGAAAATCCACCCAGGATTCAGGGCAGTGCCCTGAGAGTCCTATACCTGCGCCTGGAGACACTTTCCCAAACACAAGAACTACAGCAAGAGACATGAAGGAGCAGTCAAAAGTAACGGAGGCCACACAGCCAAGAACCTTGTGCCAAAAAGAGGCAGGGTCAACCCACACAAGGACCGAAAGTGTTTCCCCAGTGTTTAAGGAAATTCCACGGTGCCGCCTTTGATTCACTCCCTACTCCTCAACACAGTCCGAAGGACCCTAGTTAGCCAGAATCCAAGAACTCTGAACTCTTGACCCCAGTCTTCATTAGTCTCCCAACCTCTCTCCCAGCAGCCTGACCCAGGCTGACCCCTGACCTCTGCCCAAGTTGCCACAAACCCTAAGGTAGCCCCGCCCCCTCCCAGACTCCCACCCCACCCAACGTGCGCGCCAGACTGGGGGAGGGGCCCGCGCGTGCGCGGCTGGAGGCGGAGTGAGCCGGCTGCGCGCACGGCCCGGGGGCTCCCGCCAGAACCCAAACCCACGCACACAAGGGTCGCAGGACCGGGAAGCCCCTCATCCAAGCCCGTGAGGGGGCCCCCCATCACCAGACTGAGAAAAGGGAGGGTTCGTGCGCCAGGTCCTGGTCCCCCGGCTGGATATGGTGGGCGCGCGCGCCGACTACTCGTCCCACGCCCCCCTTCCTCTTCCCGCGCGCCCCTGAGGGGGGGGACTGGGGTTGGTGGGCGGGCAAGAGCGCACCTGGGTCCGTCCTCTCAGGGCTCGCTCGCTCGCTCGCTGAGGCACGCGTGCGCAGAAGGGCACGAGGGGAAAGGAGTCGCGCCGGGGCCCAAAGCCAGCCAGCGTGACCCCCTCGGTCTGTCTCTATGGGCGCGCGCCGATAGCCTCGCGCACCGGCCCCAGGGCCCCGGCTGAAGGTGCGCGCGCAGCACCCCGGGAAGGTGGGAGGGGAGGCGGTGGCGGAAAGATGCGCGCGCAGTCACCGTCAGGGGAGGGGGAACTGAGGAGCGTCCGCCATCTTGTCTCCGTCTCCTTACCTGCGTCCTCGGGGGCGTGCGCACCACCCCCCCTCCCGCTGAGGAGGGGGGAGGGCCTCC